CAGCGCCTTAGACCGCTCGGCCACACTACCTATAATCCTTTAAAAAAAGACAGCTCTTTCGGCTCTGGCCATATAGTGAATTGATTAGAGGTTGGATATTGGAATAATATAAAATAGATGATATGAGAGAGTATGTAGAGATTCTATTTTCTGTTTTATTCGCTGTATAACAGCCCTGAAGATACAACAAGGAGCCTTACAAAATAACATGAAACAACCAAAGAACACTAGTAAACCAAGATAGTTCACATCTACCTTGCAACCCTTGCGTTGCTAATGCCAACATAAAGGTTAGGATGTGCGATACAACGATACATTTGATTTTAGTGGGTTCATATCCATATTCATCTTACGTTCTATTTGTCTTTTCCCACCAATAACAGTCGGTTTACCTGAACCTTTTCACTGTAAACAACTGTGTCTGAAAATGGGGTTGATGAGAGCAGTGAGACTGGACCAAAACAGTGAAGTTGGTCTGGCTGTAAAACCAAAACAGTGAGCTGAAAGACGATAAAACTCTCAATAGATGGACGATAATTCTCTCTGGTTTTGTGCACATTATACATACTTCGATCCACAACTACCACAGTTTCCATGTCAGTTATACAAGTGTCAAGCAGAGTATTTCAGTGGGTTCATATTTATATAATATTCCACTGTGTCGCATACTGAATAGTCAGCATTTTTCCTCTAATGTGTGGTTTGAAGTATTGGACTTTGCCTGTTCAGCATTATTTCTGATATATCTAAAACTGATGGCAGCGGTGGGATTTGGAACCCCACGTCGAACGAGACGGAGCTTAATCAGCCGCCCTTCAGACGTCGCGGGGCGCCGCTACGTCAAACATTTAAAAAAAGACAGCTCTTTCGGCTTTCGATATTGGACTGATATTATATAAATGATATGACAGAATATGTAGAGATTCTATTTTCTGTTTTATTCGCCGTATAACTTCACTGAAGATACAACAAGGATCCTTACAAAATAACATGGAAACAACCAAAGAACACTACTACTACTACTAGGAAACCAAGATAGCTCACATCTACCTTGCAACCCTTGTGTTGCTAATGCCAACATGAAGGTTAGGATGTGCAATACAACGATACATTTGGGAAGGAAGTTGGTCTGGCTGTAAAACCAAAACAGTGAGCTGAAAGACGATAAAACACTCATAAGATGGACTGCAGAGAGGGGCGATAACTCTCTCTGGTTTTGTCCAATAGACGACTTTCACATTACACTTCGATATGTACAACAACCACAGTTTCCATGTCAGTTATACATAGCTTTTGAGCATCAAGCAGAGTATTTAAACGGGTTCATATTCATATCGTATTCCACTGGGTCACATATTGAATATGTTCAGTTTCAAGTATTGCACATCGACTAGTAGCATTATTTCCGATACATACATAGATACATCTAAAACTGCTGGCAGCGGTGGGATTTGAACCC